CAAGGCTCCTCCCTCCACAGTATGCAAGGCTCCTCCCTCCACAGTATGCAAAGCTCCTCCCTCCACAGTATGCAAAGCTCCTCCTTCCACAGTATGCAAAGCTCCTCCTTCCACAGTATGCAAAGCTCCTCCTTCCACAGTATGCAAAGCTCCTCCCTCCACAGTACTCAAGGTTCCAGCCCTCTCTGAAGATACAGAAACGGTGAACAATTGCAGGCTGGAGGAGACTCCTTTGGTGGTACTGTTTAGGGTCACCAACACTTCTATGATGAACTCCTCACCCATGCTCCTATAAGTAACCTGAAATTAAACTCAACAACTCACCCAGCTAGACTTGGTATTGAGTCTTTGTTCTGCTTGTGGTGTCCTATCTTTGGTGAGCAGACACCTGCTTACATCTCCCCAGGAAAAGCTGTGCCACAATGGTCCAGATCTTGAGTTTGTGTCAAGTTCAGTTACATTGCCCGGCTTGGGCTTGCTGGGTTACAAGGTGTCTGCCTTTGACTTTGCTCTTTACCTTTCTTGGAAGAGGGCTCTCTTCCCCTTTATCTCTGTTTTCAGAAGACCTTGAAGGTTTTCAGTTTGCACCACAGCCCTAGAGGCTAGTGCTCTTGTCTCTAGCTCTCATGACTTTGGGCCGGTTCTCTGAAGTTCTCGTAAGTGAGCACAAGGCAGCCATGTACACAGACTATTAACATATAACATGCTCAGCAATTTAGCCACCAGAATGTAATCTGCATCTTCATCCAGTTTACCTCACCGTACGACTATATCCTGCATTATTTGTTCTTCAGCTAAACTGAATCACAGTGACTAGGTAATGAGCTTCCACCACGGCTCCCAAGGAGGTTTTATGGATATATGAAGATAAGTAAGACAGAAGGTCCGTGACCTTGAACATACACTTTGCAAAGGACAATAAGCCAGAACTTAGGAGCCTATAGAGATAAGCAGAACATAACAGGTGCCGTTGAGAGAAATCCTAAGCATGATTCCTGGAAGTTCAGTTCTCAAAGTGAGTTGGGGGAACTGCAGCTTTGAATTCAGCTAGAGGCTAAACAGCAGCAAAAGATGGGACAGAAAGGGGCCTGGGGACCAACCCGATAAAACACAGAGGACACTAGCCACTTCAAAAGCAGTTGGCCAAGTGCTTCAGTGCCTGGCATTGCAGTTTCATGTCTTAGTCCAGGGAATAGTAGGGAGCTTGTGAAGGGACCTGAGCGGAGAAGGGGCATTGGAACAAGAGATGTATCACCCACGTAAGAGCAAAGCCATCAATCAAGAAAGGGAAGCTTAATTTAAGGCCCCATATTTGGTGGAAAATAGTCCCTATTTGATGAATCTCAGCTTTTGTCTCTAATTCTCTGCCTCTCTCTGTCTTACTGTGTGTGTAAGAGGGGAAAAAAAGAAGTGGGAGACAGAACTACGATCAGCCCTCTGATCCCCAGGGTTCCACACCAAAGACTCAATCAACTCCAAATGTAAGAAATGCGTCTTGGGGCTAGAGAGATGGGCCCATGGCTAAAGCCCTTGCTGGAAAAACACAAGTGTCTGGGTCCAGACCCCAGTACATGTGTGAGAGCCAGGCAGGTGTGGTGATCACACCTGTAACTCCAGACCCCAGCACATGCGTGAAAACCAGGCAGGTGTGTTGATCCCACCTGTAACTCCAGACCCCAGTACATATGTGAGAACCAGGCAGGTATGGTGGATCACACCTGTAACTCCAGACCGCAGGACATATGTGAGAACCAGGCAGGTGTGGTGATTACACCTGTAACTCCAGACCCCAGTACATGTGTGAGAGCCAGGCAGGTGTGGTGGGTCGCATCTGTAACTTCTGCACTGGAACGTCAAAGACAGGCAGATCCCTGCATGTCCCTGGCCAGCCAGTCTATCCATATCAGTGAGATGGGATAGAGAACTATACTGACATTGACCTCTGGCCTTTATCCACCCACTCAACACACATGTGCATGCACCTGCATGTACACAAACATATACACATACAGCACACATACACACACATACAATACATCTGTTCTGAGTAAATACAAAACTTTCTCTTGTCATTATTTTCCAAACAATCTACCACTAACTATTTACACAGCATTTACATTGTTGTGGGGATTGTAGTTAATCTAGAGGTAATTGAAAATATGGGGAAATGTGCAGGTTATATATACGAATATGACACGTTCCATAAGGGATGTTAAGATTTTGGCATTCATGAGATGTTCTGTCAAGGTGAATGTATTTGTATATGCACAATCAGCTAGAAAGTAGATGAAATTATAGCCAACTCTTTTACTTTGATACTTGTTGGTGGGTGGGGTGGGGAGTGAGCACAGGGAACTTCAGGTGTCGTGCATTATCTAGTATTTGCCGTCACATTAGGAAGAACATGAAGATGCCCTGCCACTACTAGGTAAAACGCCCCCACGCGCAAGGAAGCTGCTATGCAGAGCACATTCCGCATTCAGCCCCCACGGCGATGCTCGCAGGATGGAGCCTCTGGTTCTGGTCTGCATTCTATTACCACACAGCCGTGCCTCTTGTGTCCGAGACTGCCCAGGAACAAGCAGGGGCCACTCACGGGGCCATGTTCTATTTTGCAGTTTCCAGTGGCTTTTTTGGAGGCCAGTGGCATGAAATCCACCCTCAGTACTGGACCAAATACCAGGTGTGGGAATGGCTGCAGCACCTCCTGGACACCAACCAGCTGGACGCCAGCTGCATCCCTTTCCAGGAGTTCGACATCAGCGGAGAACACCTGTGCAGCATGAGCCTGCAGGAGTTCACGAGGGCAGCAGGCAATGCTGGGCAGCTGCTCTACAACAACTTGCAGCATCTCAAGTGGAACGGTGAGTGGTGCTGGGAAGCACAGGGGCTCCACTGCTGGCTGTAGATGTGGTTCCCAGGACAGGGAGGAGCAGAGAGAGGAGAGAGAGGAGAGGTGCAAAGCCTAGCACGGTGTGTCTAATCCCTTAGAAACAGTGACGGAACTCTTCTTGTGGCTTCTTTCATTTGTAGAGGGACAGAACTGTCCAAGTGTCCACAGAATACTTGTCATGGTATGACAGGCTTTTCCTTTACATGAAAAAAAAATCCTATGCATTTTATTTCATTTGACTGTTTATTTATTTTGCCTGTGCATGTATGTATCTACACCACATGTGTGCCCGGTGTCCGCAGAATGCTCAGAAGAGGGTGCTGAGTCCTCTGGAAGTGGAGTTATGGATGGTTATGAGTCACCAAGTGAATGCTAGGGACTGAACCTGGGTCCTCTGTCAAGTTCTGCAAGATGGCTCACCCTTAGGCACTGAGCCGTCTCTCCACCTCTTTTCATTTTCTAACAGAGTCTAAGAACTTAATTCTCAGTCATTCATTTACTTGTTAAAGATCATCAGTAATTTTAAAGAAGAAGAAAAACTTATTGACCTAGAATCTTTTTCATCTTAATTTTAAAAATCTTGGTCCAGTTATCCTGAGATTAGGTGGGACTGTGTGGTTATAGAGCTGCCCCTGAACTCTCTATGTCACTTGGGTTGACCCTGAACTCAAAATCCTCTTTCCTTAGCCATCCAAGGTCTAGGGTTACAGGAATGTACCAGTGCACCCAACCCAGACCCACATTCTTAAAATGGGAGTAGAGGGCATTTAAGAAGGCTAGTGTACCTAGATCTGTGTATCTGGATGGAAGAAGGCTGACCCCACTCCCTCTTGCTAGGGCTGGAAAGGTGGATCAGCAGTGAAGAGCACGCACTGCTCTTGCAGGGGCTGCATTGGTTCCCCGCACCCACATCAGAGACTGAACAATCTCCTATAAACCTTGTTTAAGGGGACCCAACACCTATGACAATCCATGCTGCACCTGTGCTTATGTGCACATACTTACACACAGAGGCACACACATGAGGACACACACAATTAATAAATATTTAAAAATAGAACTATAATGAAAATACTTCTGAAAACAGAATAGTTCCTAAAACATCATGTTTCTTTCCTCGGGTTTCTCATCTCACACACAGGAGGCCACTTTGCAAATTGTTCATGGTGACATAGTACACAG